GGAGCAGGGTGACGCGGTTTCCCAAGCATGTGTGAGGCCCTCATGCGAGAATAGACAGAAATGTCTATGAGTCCAGAATCAGATACCTATATGTTCTCTTCCTAAGTTGAAATCCCTGGACTCAAAAGATATACTTAGCAATAAACATCCATCATTGAGGACAATGAAAAACTATCTTTTAGAGATGCACCCAATTCTCACTCCTCTTAGTTAAAAAAAAAAAAAAAGAAAGAAAGAAAGAAAAAAAAATTCGGGGCTAGACAAGTTAATTGGCTTCCATGATTCTAGTTTGTAGAAGGGAATACAAAAACCTTCACAACTGTTATGAGGAGTCAAGATTTTTGTGAAGTTGAAAAATAAGAAATCCTCACACCTGGCTGAATGACAGGTGAGAACCTAACATTCTTGAGAGTCAAGGGGAAAGATGCGTATTTGCTTAAGGTAGTAATTATTTTTACAAAGGAACCGCTTCATCGGTTAAGCACTGAAACGGAAGTGGGGGGGGGGCGTGGGGAGCAGAACCCTCCAGGTCAACGTGGTTAAGTTACGGTGCAGTGCTGCCCGGTCCATGCCTACTGAACAACCGTCACTGCCGTCTGCTTCCAGAACGCTTCCATGCTGCAAAGCTGAAACTCATCACAAACTAACTCACAGCCTTTCTCTCTTCCCTTCAAGCCTACATCTCAGGGGTCAGTTCACCGAGACGTACAACAAACAAGTGGCCACTCCACATGCTCATCAAAACTGACAAGCAGAGACAGCCAGGAAGGGGCTCAAATGGCCCCAAGGACCCAAAGCCACTCACGAGCAGCCTACTAGGTACAACACACAACAGACCTCATCTTCGAGTACTTCCTAAACCAGAGGACTCCTGCGCCATCTACAAAAACAACTCTCTGCAGACTGCAGTGCCATGCATATATGTCTTACTGGGGAGCAAACACCTGAGAGACGATGGAGTCTCTGCCGCCTGGGTTGCTCTTAGCCTGGCAGGGGTTTGGAATCTGAGATTTGGATTCGAGTCCCAGGACTTAAGAAAAAGAAACAAAGACAGCAGAGCACTCAGGGAAGCAGCAGAGAGGCAGGTGGATCTCTGTTAGAGGCCAGCCTGGTGTACAAAGCGAGGCCAGGACAGCCAAGGCTACACAGAAAAACCCTGTCTCAAAAACCAAAAAAAAAAAAAAAAAGACTGAGAGACTGAACAAGTCGTTTCAATTCTTTGTACTGCTTTCTTATCTGAAAGGGAAGATAGAGAAGGTATTCGGCTGCCTGGGTTGTAGTAGGATCAACGTACTAATGTTGAAAGAATGTTGCTCAGTGTCTGACAGAGACTTGATTAGCGGCTGTCATCACTACCGTCAAAGCATTTACTATTTTCAAAATCCTAACAGGCTCTTCCTACTTCAACTTCAGATAATTACGTGAGATTTTTATGGGTTGGAAGTGCCTAGAACATGCCGTGTGTTTAACTGAAACCTAACCACAGCGTGCACTGGTGCCTCGTTCCATCACTCCCCCTTACAATTTCCTCTTTCTCACTACGAACACTGCGTGGCCCTTCATTAGCGCGCACGCCTGGCACGCGTCCTGCTTACCTGATAACCCGGACCAGTTCATGGAAAGCTTGATCTACATTCATCCTGATCTTCGCCGATGCCTCCATGTATGTGACCTTGAGCTGCCGTGCTAACTGCTGCCCTTCTTCCTGTGTTACCTGAAATGGGTGGCAGTAAGTTGTGTTTAAGGCACAGTATTAGCAGCCCCACTGGGCCTGTGTAAGCCTGGCTAAATACATAAGGCGCTACGCCCCCTGGAGTACAGGCTGACTCATCGTAAGGATGGACAGATACCACAATCTGAAGCCCACCTCTGCACAGCTCAGAAGAATGCACCTGCAGTGTCCATGGGCTCAACCAACTGCAAGTCAAACACCTGGGCTGAGCTGGACAGGCTGGTGCACTCTTAGAATCCCAGAACTCTGGAGGTAGAGGAAGGAGCATCAGGAATTCAGGGCCATCTTTGGCTACATAGCAGTGTGAGACTACCTGAGACTCCATCTCCAAGATAAAATAAAACCAGCCCCTGGTGAATGGTAACTGTAGTGAGCATGGCTACCTTTAATCTGGCCATTTTTCCTAAACAATATAGAACAAGTGTTTACATACCATTTATGCCATATTAGACAAAAATGAATATACAGATGTTTTCAAATACACAGGAGAGTACGCATTAAGTTATATGCAAATTTTCTGCTCCTGTTTAAAAGGGACTATTACATATCTAAGGATTCTGATGTCCATGGGGGGATACTGGAACCAACCCCTACTGCCAGCAAATGACATCTGCACTAACTCTCAAGGTTTAGTCTGGAGATGACACCAAAAACATTAGATGTGATGTTAAAGGAAGAGAAAATAGAAAGTGCTGTAACGGTGCCTATCAAGGGGTGAAGGAGAGCCGATCTGGGGCAGTGATCTAAGACCTAAAGATTCTGTAGCTAACAGCAGAGTAAGAAACCAGCCATGGCTAAAAAAGAAGGGGGGGTGAGGGGGTGGTTTTCAGGAGACCTTAAGAGCAAATGGGCTTAGCTTGCCCAGGGCAGAAAAGCTGTAAGGGAACCAGGAAGGAATGGAGAAGGACACAGGCTTCTGAGGCCACAGGACCTCCTTGTTGTCTTGGCCAGTATCTGGTATACAGGAAACACATCAGTACATAAAGAGGAGTGGCAAGTACGAGTGATGAACAGGACCACGATTGTGGAAGATCAGAGAGAGGGGGCGGGAGGAAGATATAAATAGAACAGTAAAGCAGAAGCCATTAATTATCACTAACCCTCTGCATTTCAAACACAAAGGATCCCAAAAGCAATCCTTTCCTACAGTCATTCTGCAGTATTTACTTATATTTGCATAAACCCCAGAGCTTCAAGTTGTGGTTTCCTGGAACATGCATCCTACTACTCTCCTGGGGAAAGGCTGAAAAAGTCAGATGTGAAGAAAAGCTCTTGGGACCCATTTGCCCCTCCCCCCAAAACACACCGTTCTTGTTCTCTCTTCAACCGTTTCAACTCCTGTTCACTGTAAGAAGGCAGTCATAACTAGTATATACACTTCATACTCTGGAAACACCCTGACATTATCTGAGTTTCTGTAGACTCAGGAGCCTTTTCTACATTGCTTGGTGGGCTCCTTTCTGGTGCAGATGCCATGGCTGGTTTCTCTGGCCTCGCTGCACTGCCCAGTGAGAGGGGTGCTCCTGATCTTGGGTCAGGGGAGGGCCGCTGTAGGGTTTTATTAAAAATGTCCTTTATTGGGCTGGAGAGATGGCTCAGTGGTTAAGAGCACTGTCTGCTCTTCCAAAGGTCATGAGTTCAATTCCTGGCGACCACATGGTGGCTCACAACCATCTATAATGTGAACTAAGTCCTTCTTCTGGCAGATGTAAATGCAGATAGAACACTCATATACATAAAATAAATAAATCTTTAAAAAAAATGTCCTTTATCCAAAATTTAACAAAATTTCCAAATATCCTTGCTATAAGGAGAATTATCGAGAACAAACGTCAGATATCATCAATTGTTTTTTTCCCTCTATTGAGATCATGGTGTGATTTTTCGTTTTCAGTGTGTTGACATGATAAATTATGATGGCTCGTTTCCACTCCTGAAATAAGCTCTTCTGGGCACACTGCCTACTGCTAAATTCGTTTTGCTAACATTTCGTTAAGAATTTTTGCATGGATGCTCGGCAGAGAGAACGCACCGTGATTTTTCCTGTCTGTCTGATTTTGGTTTCAGAGTATTCCTAGCTTCAAAAAACAAGCTGAGAAGAGTTCTCACTTCTTTGGTGTTCAGGAATAGTTTGATACAACAAGGAATATTCCTTCCTTAGGAGTTTAGTATGACCCACCAGTGAATTCATCTGGGTTTAACACTTTCATCGAAGGCACGTGTGACAAATGCATCTGAGAAACGCACATTACCTGGCCAATCCACTTGCATCTTGAGAAGCTTTGCTGGTTTGTACCATTCCAGTCTCTACCTTACTGAATTTATTATGTCAAGTTCTTTATAGCATTTCTTTATGCTGTTCACACTTGTAAAGTGATGGCATCTCTTTCATTCCATATACTGATGCGTGGTCCTCTCCTCCACTCACTGGGACTCAAACCTAGAGCTTCATATGCATTAATTAAGTTTATGTGTGGTTGGTAGGTAGGTAGTTACCTAGATAGCCAGATAAAGACAGACAGACAAACAGAACTGATCTGATCTGAGCCTATCTTTCTGGCTAGAGGCTTGCCAGTTTGGACTTCCTTACAAAAGCTATGTTGAGTTTTTACTTATTTCTTTGGGTTTTTGTTTTTGTTGTTGTTGTTGTTTTTGTGGGCTTTCCCCATACCAAGCACACATTCTACGATTGTCCCACAATCTCTCTACTTCCCTTACCTCCTCACTACGGTTTTAACTTGCCGTTTTTCTTTTCTAGAATTCTAATATAGTGACATAGCATCTCTTGCAGCACCCCACAAATCTTGATGTACTATAAGTCTAACTTGCACCGCATTCGGAATTCTTTGTAATATTTTATTTATTTTCCTTTTAGTGTTAGAAATATGTTGAGGAATTTGGCAATTTCCCAACGTCTGTATCAATGGCACTGTCACCAGAATGTATGTGTTATCTGACAATGCTTCCTTCAAATTTACTGAGGCTTGTTTTATGACCCATTCTTCAAAATAATGCAAACTCTGTGCTATTGGGTGGACTGCTGGGTCACTGGAACAAGCTGGTCGGCAGTCCTCCGATCCCTCATTTTCTTCCGACTTCACTCCCTGTGAGGGGATTTGTCTCTCTGTGACCCTTTTAACTCTTACTTCAGGACTTCTGAAGCCGTTGTGAGGCATCTGCATGGCTAGGACCACTGAATCCTCTTGGTGAATTAGTCTCCATCACTGTGGCCCAGGAAATGCACTGGTTCTAAAATCTGCATAACTGCTGTCTTTACAGCCACTCCACTTTCAGTGTTGCCTGCACGGTATACCTCACCCCAGCCTTCTACTTTAAGCAGGGGGTGTGTCTTTAAGGCCTTGCAGGGCCTGCTTTTTCATTCACTGACACCATTTGCCTTTCCATTGAGATCTAGAGACCTGTTCTCCTTCACTCTCTGTTCTATGCACACCCCTCTTCTGCCATTTGCGTTCAGAACTATCTCTACATTGCCCTTTCATTCCCCCATTGACTTCACTTCACGTCTGTTAGGCTATCTCATGGCTTCATGGTCTCCATTGTAATTCACTGACATATTCAATGAGGTCAAACCGGTTCCCACACTGCATCGCATAAGCCTGCTCTGCCTTCTTGCTCTTTTCTGCTGTTACCAGCTTTTACCTCCCATTATTCTTGCTTCAAGCACTCAATTATGCTTGAGAGAGGTTTAAATAATAACATTTATATTCTGTTAGCAAGAGAGACAGTTTCAGTGCTAGATTCTAGATGTGGGACAGAGGCGAACTCCCAATAAGTTAGTAAGTTAGTATGGCTGGCACTAACTTACAGCTGACTTCATTCCAAAAAGAGATGGTAGACAACACTCAACAAAATGGTTCCAGAGAAACTAATACTGAAGGTCACTAGCATTAGAGCTGGCCGATGTGAAGCATTAAGAAAATTCAGTTTTTTATTAATTAAACTAAAGAAAAATCCCAAACCAGGCATCATGGTGCATTCTTATAATCCCAGAAGGCTAAGGCAGGAGGATTTCCCTTTTGAGATCAACCTGGGCTACAAACTCCAGGCCAGCCTAGGCTAGCCAGCAAGACTAGTTTACAGGCAGGAGGGTATCTCTCCATGCTGTAATATTATATGTTACAGCCACTCTTTAAATAAAGCTAACTGAATTAGCAGTGAGTTAAGTTGGGCTTGTATAGGTAGCTTTATGATTATAAAATGTGAGCTAAGCATGGCAGCATGGGCCTGTGATGTCATCAGTTGGGAGGCTGAGACAAAGAATCACATGTTCAAAACCAGCCTGGGCCACACAGCAAGACCCTATGTCAAAACAAGAAAATGGGAAGTGGGCAGGGAGACATAATTAAGTGAGACTTCTTCACAAGAGTTTGACAAATTAAATCACTGTTATAAAATGAATGTGGGTTTTTTTTTTTTTTCCTCTCTTTTTTTTTTTGGCTTAGAGAAGAAAGCTGATTAAATGTTCTTTAAGAAAGAGAGGTAGGGAAGAGGTGGAGGAGGGGAGGGAGGGAAGAAGAGCAGAGGGAAGAAGATGGAAGAGGAGGGGGACAAAAAAGTATCTTAAACATAGTTTAACATGTTCTTGGATGACATGTTATCCGAGAAACCACATGAGCCTGGCACTAATGCAGATATGTGTAGGCTTGTAGAGAGAGCTTTCTCTTGGGTTCTGTAGTGAAGTCGTGAGAATATAACTTCCCCCAAACTGTCCTCACACTCTACCCAGGCAGGCCTGTGAGAGGCAGGGTGCTGGCCTCCACACGCTGCGCTCAGTGTGCTGCGCAGGCGTCTGAGCGCGGGCACGCTATTGTTTCAAGGGAACTGCTTCCTCCTCACCTGTCTCTGATGGTCCAGGTCGGCCTTATTGCCTATTAAAATCATGGGAAACTCATCACGGTCCTTTACTCGGAGAATCTGTCTTTGAAACTTATAAATTTCTTCAAAACTAAAAAAATAAAAAAATAAAAAAACCAAAATAAATAAATACATTATGCTAAGAATCTAAATTCAGTGAATTTTGTGTCCCATTTATTATTGTACTGCCATTTTTCTAACTGTAAAAAAGAATGAAAATTTTAATTCCATAAAGTAGCAATCTAGACAGAGCCTAGCACTGCTGATTCAAGTTTTTATTAGCAGTATTATATTAATTCTACACAACAGTGAATTTCTATAGGGCACTTTCACACATGTATACAATGTTTTTTGATCATAATGACCTCACATTTTTAAATTTTTTTAATTTTTTATATTAATTACAGTTTATTCGCTTTGTATCCCACTTGTAGCCCCCTCTCTCATTCCCTCCCAAACCCACCCTTCCTCCCTCTTTTCCTATGTCCTTCTCCTAGTCCACTGATATGGGAGGTCCTCCTCCCCTTCCCTCTGACCCTAGCTTATCAGGTCTCATCAGGACTGACTGACTGCATTGTCTTCCTCTGCGGCCTGGTAAGGCTGCTCCCCCCTCAGGGGGAGGTGATCGAAGAGCCAGCAACAGAGTTCATGTCAGAGACAGTCCCTGTTCCCATTACTAGGGAACTCACTTGGATACTGCGCTGCCATGGGCTACATCTGAGCAGGGGTTCTAGGTTATCTCCATGCATGGTCCTTGGTTGGAGTATCAATCTCAGGAAAGACCCCTGCGCCCAGATATTTTGGTTCTGTTGCTCTCTTAACCCCACATTTTAATAGCACCAACCTGCCTCTATCCGTGACTGAAAAGACCAACAGGAAGCCTTCACCTGTCCTCATGTACTGCTCTCTCATGGCTCCAAACTCCTCCTGTCCAGCTGTATCCAAAACTAAAGAAAAAAAAAAAAAAAACACAAAGAAAACCGACTGTTTTCACGTTTTAAATCACCTCCCCACAAGGGCAGCCCCGTCACCAGGTCCTCCACAGAGCCTCCTATTTGATGTGAGAGTCAATGGCATCCCTGTCATAATATTTCATTCCTAGCACCAGAGGCAGACATAATCTTCTAATGGCAGGCAGTTTCAGAGTTTATCTTCATCGCACAGATTGACTTTGTGGCTAGAATATATTAGCATACCAATTACAAGGTTAAAAATATCAAACACAGCCAAGCAGATGGAACCAAATCAACTCTAAAATCACTTGGTTATTTATCTTCTCCGTGTACAGATCTTGGAAAAGATGTCTCTGTAAGTTCAATCAAGAAACTGAGATTGGGCCTGGAGAGATGGCTCAGCGATCAAGAGCACTGGCTGCTCTTCCAGAGGACCCAAGTTCTGTTCCCAAAATCTACATAGTGGGTCATAACTGCTTGTAACTCCAGTTCCAGGGAATCTGAGACCCTCTTCAGGCCTTTATGGCATGTGGTTCACATACATACATGCAGGCAAAACATTAATGCACATAAAAGTAAATCTTAACAACTATGGTTGATTCACTCTGTCTCTGTGCCTCTCTCTCTCTCTCTCTCTCTCTCTCTCTCTCTCTGTATTTCTGTATGTCTGTTTCTCTCTCTGTGTCTGCCTCTCTGTGTGTCTATCTCTCTGTGTGTCTGTCTCTCTATTTTTTTGTGTCTCTCTCTGTCTCTGTTTCTCTCTGTCTCTCTCCCACTCTCTCCTTTTCTCCCTCCCCAAACTTAATGTATTTCTTGATCTTTCTACTAGATAAAACAACACGGTTTTCTTCAGTAGGGAGGAATAGTTACTTTTAAATCCTCTAAACTGTAAATTTCCAGTTTACAAATACTGAATCTCTCTATGGCTACTTCTGCCAAAAGACATGAAGAGCTGAGACCTGATGTTTCTTCCAACTGTCCCCAATAAAACACACTTCAACAAATTACAATAACAACATCAGTTTCACCAGAACAACAACAACAAAAAAAAAAAAAATTGCTGTTTTACTTTCCGTCTGCTGAGGAATATTTAAATTGACCAAATATGCAGATTCATCTATTAAAACAATGACAGTGAAAAAAACGGCCAGGACTAGCTCAGAGGTAGAGGCCTTGCCAAACATGCACAAAGCCTGCTGTTTGATCCCAAATAAAGCGAGGGTTAGGGGAGGCCAATGAAAAGCTTATAGTCAAGGTTCCCTAATATTTCAGTTATACAATTTAAGCTGAGAAACATCAAACGTAACCCTTGAAAGCCAGGGCATTTCAGAGGTAGCGTGAGATCAGGTTCCTTACTGTCCAGCCGGGCTGCCCTGTCATCGATCACGCACTGCTTTGTGTAGGAGTCTTCAATGGTCGGGTCGTAGTCTGTCACAAAGTAGGACTGGAAACAGACAGAAAAAAAACGCATTTAAAATGCGTGTCACTTGTCTTCCTCCCCGACACCATCAGTTTACTGAATTCTGCTGTTCAGGAAATAAGGTGCTTTAACTGTGTTAGGCTATCTTCAAGAGTTTGTTTTTAATTATGAACACACGTATCTGTGTGCACAGCTGTGCATACTGAGTGCAGGTATGCAGAGAGACCAGAAGAAGGCATCAGATCTTCTGAAGCTAGAGTTCCAGGCGGCTGGCTCTGTCCTGAGCCACCCTCTGTGGATGCCAGGAACAGAGCTGTGGCCCTGCAGAGGATGAGTAACAGAGTACACATTCCTAGCCATTCCGCCATTTCTCCAGCCCCTCTATTAGCTTTTAGTTCTGTCGATTCTACAACAGTCTCCTCAAGCGTACTATCCAAGTAAAGAAAAGGCACTAAGTAGTCTGAATTTCCCCTTCTAGATTATTCAGAACGATTGCAAAAGATCTATCACAATTTCCCCCTAATTTTTAGAAACTCTAATTCAGACCTATTCAAATTCAGTTAAGTTCCAGTTGTAAGAACCAAAACAGATAAAAGACACAGAGACAACAATAAGAGGGAGTGAGTGTTGTGTCACTCACTACCCTGAAGACGCTGGCCTGAAGACTGTGTAAGCCACAGGAACCACGAGCTTTCACTGGGATCTTTTCGGGTTCTTTCATTCCTTAAATGATATTCTTCTTTTTATCAAAGCCTTCCAACTGGCATATTCTAGGAATAATCAATTAAGGAATCACAATTTTTCTCTTACGATTAAAAAAGCAGCCAGGCATGATGGCTCAGACCTTTAATCCCAGCACTTGAGAGACAGGCAGTCAAATCTCTCTGAGTTCAAGGCCAGCCTGGTCTACATAATGCAGGACTACAGAAGGAGACCCCGTGATGGATGGATGGATGGATGGATGGATGGATGGATGGATGGATGGAT